AGTCATGCTGACATTGGAGAAAGATAACTTACTGAAAATTTTTAAAGAGTTAAATATTTTACACTATCTGCACAATTCCTGTACCCCTCACCCCTTCCACAGGCAAGTCTCCCTCAACAATACTTCAGTGATTTGACTAGAGTTCAAAACAAATATTTCTTATTCAGAACTTGGCTTTGAAGAAAATGCAGCCCTAACAAAATTTTAAGTAAGTTGTTGAAGGATCCAGAGGATTCATTTTACAAGGGTTAGCTCCAGAGGTGATTCTGGGACCAGCATTTTTCCCAGACCCCAACCGCATCTAAAGCTGCCAGGAGGGTCTGGCTTTTGATTCCTCTGTGATTCCTTTCCAGACTAGATCAACATCACTTGATTCCAAGAACTGCAGCTTTTCCCTACTCTTTAACCTGCTGTGCCTGAAAATTTAGCTTTCCCATACTGAAGGTTCACCCTGTTTGCGTGGGTCAATCCTTGGGTTGTACTAAAGGTATTAAGGTAACTATGGAAGCCTCCCCACTCTGTTGAAACAATTATTCCTAGAGAAAATCTCTACCTAAAGCCACGATTAAAGTCACTCCCCACTCCTCCCCCAACAACTTTCTTTGAAAGGGTAAGAAGGGAAAAAAGATGAGTGCTTCCACTTAGCTGACAGGAATGAACTGTGGGTAGTCCAACCTGTACTCCTTCCACCCAGTCACCTACACATAAGAGCAACAATAGTGCTTGCTGTATCGTACAGTTGTAGCCTCTTAGCAGAGCCTTCAAATCCTGGTATGACTGTGTGGGAAAGTGTGGGTGGGTTTGGGTGTGTTGGCAGGGTGGGGCGGGGGGTGGTGTTTGCTTGCCTTGGCCACCTAAAAAGCCTGTTACTACTGACAAAGGATCCTACTTTTTTTTCCCTCAGTATAAGCCCATAAGTCAACTCAACACTCACCGTGTTACAAACATAGGCAAGCATCTGGGTGTCTAGGTGTGCCCTGGCCCCACAAAAATCCCTAACCAAAACTGTGGATAACTGTGACAATCATTTAAGCATAAGTAATAGTATACACCCTCTGAAGGCAGAGGTTTGGTTTTTATTGCTACTTTATGCCTGATAGTTTGTAAAAATACCCTAAATGTCATCTCCCAGTTAAAACCCTTCCATGTCCAGGGGCAAAGGATGCTCTAGATCCCCAATGCTTGAGCCAACTGAACCATCCAGGACCACTTTGCTTGGCTCATCTAGCAAGGCAAAGCTGTTACGTGGATCCGCTACGGTAAGGATTCTCAGGGAGATTCCCACCTCACAGTCACTGCTTGGCTTTCAGCTATTTCTGGTAACCCTCAGAGTTCAGTGTCTTTCTAGTTTGATTTCTCCCAACAGGACTGGAGCCTTATTGACCCTATAGATCAATCCTGGTGGAGTGAAGTGTTAACTAAGGTAAAATAAAACAGAAGTAAGTATGAAGGCAAGAGTTTTTACCAGAATCTGACCCTTCTGTGAGACAACTCACACGACAGAAAGCTCTGAAGATATTGCTGAAAGCTGGAGTGTTTAATGGCTTCCATTTTCTCAAGAGCATTTTCCCCGTAAACAAAGATAACAACTGTTTCAGCCAGAGGAAGTGACGGCTCCTGATGTTTCCACCATAAACACTTGCAGAGGCTACACTGATGCCAGTCACCACAGTGATGCCAGTGATCTGAAGGCAAGAGGCAGGCTTAAAAGCTTTGCAAACTCTTTCCCAAAAAAGTACGTCTAGACAAAGCTCAAGCTGTAAACTTGTAACTTCAACAACATAAACTATCACATGCTCCAGCAATAGAGCAGGTTCATTTCTTGGGGACAGAGGACAGGATATTAAGGGTAAAGAAGGGTTTTAATTAGGAGATGACATCTGGCAAGTCCTTATAAATCCAGCAGTGCAGAGCCGGCCACATAAATCAAACCCTTGTATTCAGGGTCCATACTATTACTCAACAAGGGTAATTCGAGTAATTACCAGAGTTATCATGATCTAACACATAAGTTCATTTGAGGATCCCAACTATGCAAGCATGAATATTTTTTTTGGCTGCCTCTAACTAGCATGTTTATGAAAAACAGGTTAAGTTACTGGCTCCAAATTACTTTTTAATAAAAAAAGCAAACAAAAAAGCTTAAGCTTTTAAGATTTTTCTTTTTTTTTTTTTTAACCTGGAAAATAGATCTCCCTGTCAAAAGCATGCATGATTAATGATTTATATGATAATCTTGGGTATCTGTGTTATTACATGGCATTTCCTAACAGCTTATAATTGCCTTAAAGATTGTTTTGGAAAGGTTATGCCCTCTTTCTACTCCCATTCCCTTTAAGTAAATCCTTGTGTAATCTCTGGAAATTTTTACAACTATCAATGGGCCATTCAAAAATGGAGCCATTGTCAAGTCCTTACGTGAAATACTGAAGTTTTACCATCAAAACAAAATCGCTCACTTCCACAAAATAGCTGATGGAAATACTGTACTCCGGGGGCTTACATGGAACAAACATTAGGAAACTGTCTACCTGCAAACCCGTTCTAAGGCTGGACCAACCCAGGGGGACCAGGTTGGTCACAAGTACTCAATCAACCAGGAGAATCTACAGAACACTAAGAACCATTATTTACACCACTTTAGAATTTAACTGTTGAAACCCTTTGGCAAATGAGGAAAGCAGAGAAAGAGATCAAATGAGTCAATGTAAGAATCTCCGTTGGTTGGCTGGTTTTTCTAATATCACCATATCATGTTATTCTACTGAAGTTCAGGAGAAGGTACCAGGGGATACCTCAACCCAAAAGGACTTCTTCACAGTTTTAAGTCTAGAGGGGAAGGTCCGTTAACGAAGACCTCACTTATTCCTAGTAATGGCGGGCATCAGACATGACCTAAATCTGTAGAGCTAGTTCAACATTCAGGTTCCCTAACAAAGTCATGATAGAATGTAATTACTATCACAGACATAAGACTGTCTAGGTTCTAAAGCAATTAAGCTGGTAACAGCACTATTCACAATAAAAAATCAGTTTCACAAATCTGTAACAGAGACCAGGTAAATGTGCCAGAAATTCTATAAACCATGGAATACCTTGTATCAATTTTTATGTAGACACAGCAGGTAAACACAGTTTTGGAAGATAATTCCTATATTCCAATTTAGCATAAGGTAATTAACTGTGTCTTAAAAAGAGGAACGGAAAGGAGCCTAGAGCTTCATTAGGCACCCCACCTAACTTAAATTTATTTTTCTAGAAAAAACCATGTACTCAAGAAAGGCAATCGAGATCTACATACTTAATTCACATTCACAGAAACTTGTAACATGTGTAAAAGGATTCTCATCAATCTTTCAAGCTCCTGGAGCAGGCATAAAATACCCAGGCAGTGGCTCAAGAAATCTAACTTGTGAGGAGGTTCAACATCTCAAAGATAATCTAATAATGTAAAGTTTTACAAACTTTCCTTCCTGGTCTCTTGCCTTCATTCAGTCATTCATTTAAAATTATAATGAGCTCCTCCTGGAATATGCTGAGGACCCTGTGGGGAATAAGGCACTTGTGATTCCTGTACCCAAGAGTGTAGCTAAGGCTGCAGAAATGTTTTAAGACATCTGTTAAATCTCTAGTGTTTTAAGACATAATCCCCGTCCTCCTGGAGTTTACAGTCTCCTTGAGCACACAGAATCTGTGCATAATAACAGAATTAAAGAGAAATAGAGGGCAAGAAGACAAAAACAGTATGAGTTTGGGGAGTTGAAAGGAAGAATTTTTTGGAGTCTAAAGAAAAAGATCTATACACAAGAAGCAAAGGAATGAAGCCTTTTTCCAGTGTTGGGGCTCCCCAAACATGGCCCTTTGCAATACTGACGCAGCCTCAGGATCTCTGACCGTACTTCCTCATCCTCTGTCTCTCCCAAAGCACAGGATAAGGCTGTTCTCTGAAGTTCCCTTATCCACCTAGAAACCAGACCGCCCCCACCAAAGAGAAACATAATGGTCTGCCATTGCACCGCCCCCACCAATCCCCCAGCTCAAGACTGAGGAATGCAACCATACCCAGACAAAGTTTTTCACAAGATAATTTCTGCCTCTGGCACTCATTCAAATCGCAAAAAGCATCATTTACAAGTAAACTTCTGTCTCAGGGAAATATTCATTTTCCCTGAAAATCATTTGCTCCTACACCCCCAACACCTTCTCCCCAATAAAGAAAGTATTTAAGGATCAGCCATATGGCCATTTTCTTGAGTTTTCATATTTTGTATGACTCCCATGCACACATATAATAAATTTGTTGGGCTTTTCTTTTGTTAATCTAACTTTTAAGAGTGTTGGCATGACCCTTTATGCTCATGGGGAAGGAAAGGATCAATCCCTACACTGTCAAAGAGAAGAGAATCAGAGTCATCAAGGTTGAAATGTGGATGGTACAAGCCAGGGCAAGAGGGTGAAGATTTCACACAGGGTGGGAAGCTGGGCATGGGGTTCTACAACAGATAACAGTGGGCTATATTCATGCTAGAGCAGGGTCTATGCAGAGAGTATGCAACTGGCAGGAAGGGGGTGAGATGGATACGGGTGGAAAGTGAAAATGGGTGCAAGAAATTCATTTTAGAACATGTTGAAATCCTGGATCAGATGAGGGCAAAATAAATGGAAAAGAAAGCATTGAAGTAGAAAGGAACTAGGAAAATTTAGTCTCAGATACAGTTTGAATGTTTGCTCCTTCCAAATCTCATGTTGAATGTGATTCCCATTGTTGGAGGTGGGGCCTGGTGGGAGGTGTTTGGGTCATGGGGTGGATCTCTCGTGAATGGCTTGGTGCCCTCCCCACAGTAAAGAGGGAGTTCTGACTCTGTTACCTACCTACCAGGAGATCTGATTGTTTAAAAGAGGCTGGCATGGCTCTCTCTCTTTTCTTGACATGACACACCAGCTCCCCCTTCACCTTCCACCATGAGTGAAACCTTCCTGAGGCCTCCTAGAAGGTAAGATGTTGGCCGGGCGTGGCAGATCACGCCTGTAATCCCAGCACTTTGGGAGGTTGAGGAGGGCAGATCACCTGAGGTCAGGAGTTCAAGACCAGCCTGGCCAACATGGTGAAACCCTGTCTCTACTAAAAATAATAATAATAATAATAAAGATCAGATGCTGGAACCATGCTTGAACAGCTTGAAGAACTATGACCTAAAAAAAAAAAAAAAAAAAAAAAGGAAACTTTCTTTCCTTTATAAATTACCCAACCTTGGGTACTTCTTTACACCAATGCAAAATGGACTACAATAGTCACTGATGACAGATTTCAAGGTTTTCAGCTTAGGCCAGTACATGAACTGTAGAGTCCAGAAAGCAGGTTTGTTTTTCAAAGTATGTTTTGTTTTTCACACCCTGAGTCTGAGACAATGGGAGGCTTCCCCAATGCATGCGTCTGACAGAAAGGAAAACATATGGCAAAAAGAAAAAAAGCTCAGGCAAAAAGGTGGTCCAGACAGAACCTATCTCTGTGGCTGTGATGAATAAAGCCACAAAGGAGATGAGTTCTCTGAGAACTCCCACCCCATTCAGAAAGGAAAAGGGCAGGAATACTGCTCTAGAAATCTGGACGAGTGTCCAAGCAGACAGGAAAGATTCTCTAAGGCAGTGGAGCTTAAGCTGAGTTTGAAAAGTCTTCTGAAGGAAGAAGAAAGAGTATTCCAGCTCAGGACACAGCAGGGACAAACAACACGACTTCAGTGGATAGACAGGCTGCTCCATCCCTGTTGTCTCAGTATTTAAGATACTCATGGTGGACATTTGATCATCAGTTCACTACAACTATATGGAACTGCCCCCTAAATTCAATTATACTTTGCTTTTCACACGCTTATTTTCATAATTAAAGAGTTTTCCAATAAAAAACAAGGTACATGGAGAAAAGCAAGGGTATCGGATTTCACCAAAACATAGCAGTGGTCAATTCTAGTCCATCTCCGAGATGACCTGGTCTCTGGCATTTGCACGTTCACAGTTTTTTGAGTCAATGAATGCCAGTATTGGAGCCACTCATTTTTCAAGGTCATAATTGCTGCATATAAAAAGACTGAGTTACAGACTGTCCCCAAACAGCAGGAACCCTCGTGGCCTGCCTCTCCTGGGTCCGAGAGCCACAGTGTTCTCCTGCTTCTATTTAGAGTATCATGAATGCTAAACAGAAATGTTAAAAATTATTCCACAAAACGAAGGAAAGCAGACATCATCCCCCATAGACCCACACTCTGAAGTGGTTCACCACTCAATTTTGGCTTGCAAATGCATTCTTAGAAGTAGACTCCTTGTTTGTCATCTGAACCCCCAAACATCTTAATTACATATTTGTATAACACCCGGATAAAGGGGGAAAAAACCCAAACCTCAAGTTTTTTTTAAGTAATAGCAGCTTTCACTCTGGAAAAAAAAAATCAAAGCAATTCTATCACATCAGTACTTTGGTTACTTAGCATCGTATCACCTCAGACACGTAACACGAAAGCTGTGAAGGGGAAAAGGACATCAGAAATGGCTATGGCAACAAGGAATCTAGCAAAGAGAGTCTTCTGTGATTCTACACGCCAGATGTGGTAAGAAGCTCTTTCAGCCAGACTTGGTAAAATGCCTTGTTTGAATGAAAGTCTGAATTGGTGGTTATTTTTAAATGAAGTTTTTCTATTTGGAAAGACTTCTAATAACAAAGGGCAGTATCCTAAGAAGCCCTCAGGGACTTTTTTAAATAATTAGAATAACGTGCAATTAGACAAACAGTCATAACTCAGTGCTTCTGAGGGCTTGAAAGTCGTTGTTCTCAAGTAGTTCACAGAGCATCAAGTTCACATAAAGGATTCTAAGGCACTGGACTGAATTGGTTGACCTTACAATGCACTGGGATATAAATGAACAAATGCACTCCTCAGTACATATTAGGCATTCCCTAGGCTTAAAAATCCCCAAAACTCTAAAATAGAAAAAAAAATGCTAAGCAAATATATTAGCATAAATATGTATTAGAAAAATATTCATTTCAGGATTCCTTTAAATAGTAAGCCCTATTCATGGCTGTGTGTCTTCACAGATCATTAATTTCTTGACAAAGAAGTTAGGGTGCTGAGGCCACATGGCCAGAACACTGGAATTGAAGATCAGTGGGAATGTGATTAGAGAAGTTTCAAAAAGTACGTGCTCCTTTGAAAACATTTTGCCTCCGTCTTTTCTCTCTCCATGGTTTCCCAAGGCCAGTACTCTATCTTCCTCTGTTTGAATCCAAACAGAAGTACAAGTCAGATCCACAAGTGAGTCATTTTACCTTGCCCTGCCTCTCTGTGTGACCAATGGCCTACCATCCTATAGATGGACAGTCACAAGGGTCCAAATAAAGTGTCTCACACGAGCAGACAGAGGGCTTGCAGGAACCTTTTGTAGGTTTTTGGCTGGAGCTGAACTGCAAACCAAAAAAAAAGTTTCCAACAGCAGCCCTTCCTGAAGCTGAGGGTCTGACTGTGAAAGTTTAGCCTAAGTATTTATGGTGCTGAGAAGCCATTAGAACTAACTAATGTCCTTTGTTTCCCTCCTAAGGAAACTGGGCAGTCTTGTTCATGCAAAACCACTATAGAGTGATCGCTCTAACAGGCACACTGGACCCGGAGGGTGAATGGTCCCCATAGGCTATCTCTCCCTAATGCCTTGCTTTTTCACATCACACCACCTCCACTCTTCCAAATTTTGGAGGCTTACTACCAACAAGGACTCAGCATCTGACTGATGAATGAGCTTTCAGTAGACAGGAGTGGGACAGGTGTGGGAGAAAACATTTCTTGCCAATCCCCATTCTCCACTGCAGAATACCACAATAAGAAATCTTTCCTTCCAATTGTTAACTAGCAGTTTAAATGACCACATTTAATCAGCTAAGTGAGAGTTGGTTTAAAAGGTCATTTACAAAAGAAGCAGTAAATAGCCCTTTAAACCACTTCATAGTATCTCCAAATGCCTTGATTTACCAAGTCTGAGGGTTTCCTAGAACTCGCCTTATAAGCACTAGAATGAAATCTAGTCCTGGCTCTTTTCCCATAACCACTTCTGCTTTGGTTCATTAAGAATGTAAACATGACTTAAATAAAGCAAAGCTCCCTGGACTAAGGGGGTCTTCATGATACACCTCAAATCACATGTGAATGAGGTTACAGGGCACAGTGCAGAATCCCTTCACAGATTCTAAGGTGGCTAAAAATGCCCATGTCAGTGGATTTGCCTGTTTTACAAGTCATTTGCTCTGAAACTCCTAAACGAAAATATAAAAACAGCAGCATAAGACTTCATTGTCATATTTATTTGTTACTCATTCTCTGATTTGGGGGTGGGGAACAGGGGGAGGATCAGACACAATTTTTAGCCAACCAGCCTCTAAACAGAAATAAGGTTTATTCTCGGTACTCAAATTCAAATCTTAGTAACATAGCAATTACATTTTAAAATAAACTACCTCCTTGTGCTTGCTTCTAAGGAGAGTGTTTGGTGGGATATGAAAGAGTCTAATCCTAGGCAGCCGTATGGCCAGACCAATTATAAACCCCATAGACTTTCACACGTCACAGAGAGCAAACTGCTCCAGGAGCAGCTCTTAATACTTTATTGCCTATTCAGGTGCTCCCGCACATTTAAGATATACTTGTCAACAACAAAATACAGCACTTCCTTCTGTCTTTATCACATTGGTTGCCAGACAACTGCACAGAGCTGAAGTGGGTAATGTTACAGTAAACAGCTCCCTAAAATATTTACATATGTCATTGACAAACAATAGAAAATTTAAAAGAGATACAAATGTACTCTTGGAACCTTAAATCTTCTTCCCACTGAGGCTTAAGCACTTAAAAATCTTCAAACACCTCGCAGAGAAGAAGGAAACACATTCCAAAGGAAGTCTAGATTTATAGCCTAAATGTCTTCCTCTAGAATATTTAATACACTTAAGCTTTAGTCATTCTATACACTATGAAAATGCTCTTCAACGATAAATTAGTGTTGCATTTTTCATTGCAGCTCACAGAGATATCATTTTGCTTTCAGGAAACCAATTATAGAATAGTAAATCATTTTTACATTGCATTCCAAAAACATTTAAGTTGCAACATGGGCAGTGTGTAGAATCACAAGAAAAATACAGCTTACACATTCTATCCTTCAGTCTTCTACACTGAACATGTTAAATCCCTGCAGAAAGTGCTACAGTTAGTTTGGTTTTTAAATATTTAGATTATTTCAGCATATGCACATAAGTATTAGTGCAATAAATATTTACTGAACTCCTGCAATATGCAGTTATCCAGATTTGGGGTTGAAATTTGGGGATTCCCATGATTTCAAGATATCAACCACTACTACCATAATTACCTGCTTTATGGGCATTTATCATGGCAGGCCTTACCGTAAGTACTCTACACACACAGACTGTACCATTTCAGTATGGAAAGCAATGCTGAAGGTCACCTAGGCCACTTGGCTGGTGACACTGGAGGATCTGCCCAACATTCACACCCATAGAGCTGATCAGTATAGTGTGCCCTCCGTATCTGAGGGTTCTATGTCCACAGGTTCAACCAACCACAGACCAAAAATATTCAGGGAAAAAAATGGGATGCCTGTGTCTGTACTAAACATGTATGGACTTTTTCCCTTGCCATTATTCCCTAAATAATACATCATAACAACTATTTACACTGTACTAGGTGTTATAAGTAATCTACAGATGGTCTAATGTAGTAGTCCCCAACCTTTTTGACACCAGGGACTCGCTTCATAGAAGACAATATTTCCACAGATGGGTGGGGGAGAGGGATGGTTTGGGGATGAAACTGTTCCACCTCAGATCATCAGGCATTAGATTCCCTGAATGTACAGCTCACAATAGGGTGATCACTCCTATGAGAATCTAATACCTCCGCTGATCTGACAGGAGGCAGAGCTCAGGGAGTTAATGCTAGTTGGCCTGCCACTCACCTCCTGCTGTGCAGCCTGGTTCCTAACAGGCCATGGACCAGTAGGGGTCTGTGGCCCACAGGTTGGGGATCCCTGGTTTAAAGTATATGAGAGGACAGGCACACCATTTCAGAAAAGAGACTTGAGCATCCGTGGATTTTGGTAATTGCTGGAGGGGTCCCAGAACGAATCCCCCATGGACACTCAAAGGAAAACTGTATAGGGTGCCACCGTGATGTCTTCTAGGCTATGCCAAATTTGTGAAATTAAAGAACAAAACAGCCGGGCACGGTTGCTCATGCCTGTAATCCCAGCACTTTGGGAGGCCAAGGCGGGTGAATCACTTTAGGTCAGGCATTCAAGACCAGCCTGGCCAACAAGATGAAATTCAGTCTCTACTAAAAATACAAAAATTAATCAATCAAGTGTGATGGTGCATGCCAGTAATCCCAGGTACTCAGGAAGCTGAGGCAGGGGAATTGCTTGAACCCAGGAGGCAGAGGTTGCAGTGAGCCGAGGTCACGCCACTGTACTCCTGCCTGGGTGACAGAGCAAGACTCCATCTCAAAAAAAAAATGTTTTTTTAATTTAAAACAGTTAAAAAATAAAGAACAAAACACCATAATACATGATCAAGTCTTAGAGTGACTGCCGAGTACAACCGCGACAGTGTGCTTAGGAAAAAGCAGATGTTAGCTAGGGAGTGATGATCAAGAAAAAGGCATGGGAAAGAACGCCAAGCAAGTGGGAGAATGCATGAGTAACAGCAGTGGGGTGGGAGACAAGGACCCAGCCTTTCGGCAGGACCTTCAGAAAAAAACAATCTAATGGCCCATGCCTCTGGAAAGCAGTAAAAAGACAAGTCAAGGTGTCCAGGGGGAAAGCTGAATCTAATGGTTAGGACTTCACATCACAGAGAACAGGGAGCCACCATGGCATTTTGAACATATGTGTACCTTACCTAAACCAGTATTTTAGATAAAACTGTCTGGCAGTAATTTACAGGATGTACTGGAGGGAAGGAAAAGCTGAAGGTGAGACCAAACCACGGGGCTGCACCAGGGAAAAGGCATTGGGACTGAAAGAGCAATGGAAAACATGACGGGCAGTGCAGAAGAGTGAAAGAATAGTGGGGAAAGTTCCTGAGTCCTGCCTAATTACGTGAGCCGTTCAATACTTACCAGCAAGTGAGGAGAGGAACCAGGTGGGCATGCACACAGCTATGTGCAGTTGCTGAATTTCACCTGGGGAGAACCAGCAGCCCTGTGAACACTCTCTACTCCCATATAGGCTGCAGTCAACTAGTCAGCCCCGAGAATCACAATACTGCCACGTTATCCTCCCTAGCTCGGAGTGCTGGCTATGCAGCAAACATATTTTTAATGAGAAAAACTATTTTCGCTTCAGTTTTGTTTGAACCACATCATTCACAAATGACTGAGTATAAGAAACAACACAATTCTAAAAATAATGTTGCTTAATTTTAGGATGTCTAGTCTTTTTTTTCCCTCTTTTTCTCTCACAGTATGCCTGAAAATAGCGGTTAGCCAAGTTTTTTGTTTGTTTGTTTTTGTGGTGGTTGTTTTGTTTATTTAAACCAGGGTGAGAAATATTTTCTGGGAGAGTTTTAACTACTGGATCACCAACAGAAAATGGGGGTGGCAGCTACGCAAAACTCCTGTGATCATGAAACCAAGCAGTTATGGTTATTAAGCTCTGTGGATGTAACAGTAGCTTCAAATCATGGCTGACACCTGGAAAGATGCCACTGGGCTCACAGACCAGGCCTGCACAACTCACAACCACAACTGGAATCAAACCTGACCATATCCCCACTTCTCACTGAAAAAGAAATGGTTTGGCTATACTGGTACGGCAAAACCAGAAAATAAGATTTGAATTAGTCTTAATGCTTTGCAAAAATGTACTAGCTTGTTAAGATGCATCCTCCATGTATAACTAAGCTTGGTCTAATAACTGTTTTGCATCTGTTCTCTAGCAGTCTGCTGTTGATTGGTGGTGAGAGGGGAAGAGGGAAAACGGCTTAAACCATTACTCTTGTTTTGTGGGCATTTGAAGTAGCTGCCAGGCACATGACAACGACTGTTCCAATTGGTTCAGAGTGACATCACTTCATTATTCAACTTTGTTTGCATTTTGGCTTCCTCCTTTTCAAGGGCTTCTGGACCTCACCCTGCCAAGTCACTTTCAAAGAGAAAGAGAAAGAAAGAACATGTCTTATGTAGTCATGAAGTGTCAAACGTCCTTTGTGTTCCCTAGCCCAGTTTATGAGAGGAGACCTGAAGAACTAAAGGTTCCAATGAATACCACAGTGGTGTATGACTTTCTTCACAGCGTGAGGAGGGGAACGGGAAGAGGAGCAAAAGGTGGCTGCTAAGCTTGGAGGAAATTAAAACTGATGGACTTAAATAAAAATCCTCAAAGTTTGTTTTCACGTGGGAAAACTATAAAATAGAAACCACATGCAATACTGTGCTGGAACTTCATTTAAATCATTCACATTTCTAAAACTTGGAGAATGTTTCTAATTTAGTCAAACACTACCCTTTCTCTCTCCAAAATAATTATTCTTATTTCACCTAACTCCTATTTTTCACATCTAAGCAATGTGACCACCAGAAGCTGGAACAACTGCTTTCTGACTCAGGAAATAAAAGTTTATTCTGATTCTTATTTCCATCTTCCGTAAAGGGAGTTACCACGGAAGTCACAAAATGTAGAGAGTTCAAGCGTGATTAATTTTGTATGTTCAGCTCAAAGGAAAAAGCTTCCTCATAGGAGAATACATGAAAGGATGAGCGAACGAATAACAGGCTTTATAACCCAACCAATGAGAAGCCCAGGAGCTCACTATATTAAATTACACCAGCTCTCAATACAATAGGTCAAAAGGTATTTCAAATTCTAAGTTAGGAGCCATACTCCAGCTGTTGTGCACCAAAAAGAAAAAGTGCATTTAACATCTAAGCATATGTTTACATACCAAGTGAAGACCAATTTATGTTGTGGTCCTTCTGTGAACTGGGGCCTTGCACGACTTAAAGAAAAAATTCAATTGTAATATGTCAAAGAGAGGTGTTCCATAATACAAAGGTACTCATGCCTTCAAGGTCAGCTTACTCACATTTTGAGCAGTGGTTTAGTTTTGTTGTTGTTGCTGCTTTTTAGATGGAGAATTCAGGCTGGAGTTCAAGGGCATGATCTTGGCTCACTGCAACCTCTGCCTCTGGGTTCAAGCGACTCTCCTGCTTCAGCCTCCAAAGTGGCTGGGATGACAGGCAGCTGCCACCATGCCCAGCTAATTTTTTTGTATTTTTAGTAGAGACGGGGTTTCACTATGTTGGCCAGGCTGGTCTTGAACCTCTGACCACCTCATGATCTGCCCGCCTCTGCCTCCCAAAGTGCTGGGATTACAGGCATGACCTACAGCGTCCAGCCGAGCAGTGGTTTAGTTTTACCAAACTATTACCCGTGTCATTAAATTAATATTTGGGTTTGAATCTTTTTGTTTTCTATGCACTTCATATGTAAAATCATTTAACTTATAGTTGTACAAGATCTGCAAGCATAAGAAATTGACACCTAGGCTTTATAAGCTTCTAGGTATTTAAGTATATTTATACCAAGTAATTTATGATGACACTGAGGGTCTACTGAATATCTCCTT